GGCTTATCAGCTCTGGAGCTCGGCTGTCACCAAAGTAAGGAGCAGTTTCCCTCCTCAGAGGTGGTTTTGGGGAGGGTTTCATCACTGGGGCTGCTCAGAGCATCCTGTGCTGCTGCCTGGTCACAGGGTGGCTCCAGGGGCTTGGTGTCCATGAGGAGCCCTTGGAGCCCTCACTTGGGCTGCCCACAGCTCCCTGTGCTGCTGCCTGGTCACAGGGGTGGCTCCAGGGCCTTGGTGTCCATGAGGGTCACTCTGGGAGGTGCAGCAGGTCACAGGCTGGCTGCCCTTGGCTCTGTTTGAAGTGTCCTGAGATTGGGACTCTTGTTTTGCTCCAGGCTCTGGTTCGGTGCTTCACCCACACGTTGCTGCTGGACACAGCTGGCTCTGTCCTGGCCACAGCCACCAACTGGGACGAGATTGAAATCCAGGAGGAGACCGAGTCTGGGAGCAGTGTGACATCCAAGATCCGGCTGCCTGTGCAGGTATGAGGGACAGCCTGAGGGAGGAGCCCAGCACTGGCTCCAGAACCACTTGCTGAGAGCAGCGAGGGTGTTTGGTGTCACCAGCAGGGGACAAACACTCAGTGGTGCTCTCTGAGACACTCACCTCGTGAGGACAGAGGTCAGAGGAAGGAAATAGGTCATTATTGCTGTTTATCTCTATGAGGAAGGTTGGCCCAGATCCTGTAAAACTGAGCCAGAGGAGGACTTGGGCCTGGTTTAAACACAGAGGTTCCATGGAAGCTGGGTGCATTGGAGGACAGGGCTGCAGCAGTGGGACTGTGGAATCCTGAGGGAGCTGAGGCTTCCCAAGGCTGTGGTGGTGGCACAGGAAGGGCCCCACAGGGACAGAGCAGGTGACAGAGGGGAGGAGGGCCAGGCTGCAGTGAGTTCTGTGTTTGCACAGCACGAGAGGGGCTGGACAGGGAAGTGCAGTGAGCCTTACGCAGTGAATTCTGTTATCTGAGGGGAAAAGCAGCTGGGTGAGAATGCAGGAGGCCCAGGAGGTGAGGGGGGAACAGCCCAGGGAGTGGGTGGGCAGAAGATTAACAGGCAATTCTCTTCTCACTGCACTCAGTTTCTGGTAAAGTCTTTTGGGGGCTTTGGGAGCTGCTGTAACCCAAAATCAGGGGTGTCAGTAACCCAGACCCTGTGAGATACCTGAGCCAAGCTGTGGGGCAGAGCTTTGTGGCTGCTCTGGGACACTGCCACCAGGCAGCAGAAGGGATGTGGAGGGGAATGGAAGGGAATTTACAGAGCAGCTGCAAATGAAGTCTGTTCTCTGCCCAGCCCTCGTGGCACGTGCAGTGCCTGCTGTTCAGCCTGTGCCAGGAGGTGAACAGGGTTGGTGGGCACACCCTGCCCAAGGTGACGCTGCAGGAGCTGCTCAGGAGCTGCATGGCAGAGGTGCTGGCTGCCTATGGGAAGCTGGTGGAGCAGAAGCAGGAGAAGGTACCTGGCTGTGGGATGGGAGGGAGAAGGTGCCTGGGAATGCAGGGGCACATCCAGCTCCTGGAACAGAAAAGTTACAGCATTGCAATGCCTGTCCTGCCAGCTGGAAAGGGAACACCCTGGAAAGGCAGACACCAGATTTCACACTCTGGTTGTGCCTCGGCCTTGGTGTTCTCAGATGTTGCTCCTTGGGCAGCGTGCCCTGTGCCAGGGAGGAACCCATTCCTGCCTGTCCTGTTTGCAGAGGCCAGACAGCTTCCCCCTGACCCAGAGCAGGGCTCTGCAGTTACTCTACGACCTGAGGTACCTCAGCATCATCCTGACAGCCAAGAGTGAGGACACAAAACCCAGCAGGATCAAGCAGGACTCCGGGTATGGCACATTCTGGGGCTCACATCCTCCAGCAGGGCTTTGGGGGGCCCTGAAGCAATGCAGGCTCCAAGCTCTGACCCTGCACAAACACTGAGCTCGTCCTCAAACCAGAGGAGGGTTCTGTGGCCAGGGGCAGGTGTCCATAGGATACCCCTGGACAGAGCAGTTGAGCTTCCAGCCAAGAGTCCAAGCCCTGGGAGGTAGCACGGGGAGCAGTTTGGGTTGTGTAAGAGCTGGAAGGCCTTGGGGCAGCTGCCCTTGTGCTGAGTAATTCCTGCTGTGCTCAGTCAGCCCAGACAGGAAATCCCTGGCTGCTGCAGAGCTGGCAGCACCAGGATGTCACCCTGACAGGAGCTCTCTGCTCTGCCTGCAGCATTGAGAAGATCATCGACTTCCTGGAGGGACACATCGATCCCTTTGACCTGGATGTCTTCACCCCACACCTGAACAGCAACCTGAACCGCCTGGTGCAGAGAACCTCGGTAGGGAGCAGGGCTGGACAGCAGGAGCTGCACAATGCCCTCAGCAGGGCAGCTGGGCTGGCTGGGAGCTGCTCAGTGCCTCAAGATAAGCACTGGCACTCGCCTGCAAAGGGGAAGAGTGCTCGGTGCCAGCTGGAGATAAGAGGAGCTGGCTGAGCCGGCTGCACGGCCCCGCTGCTGTGGGGCTGCCTGGACTTTATCTAACAGGATTCACTGGGGCCTGTGCCACACTAATTGGGTTAAGTGGTGCTGAAACAGGTCTGGGACTCAGCTGTGGGAATGATTAAACACCAGGGTTAACAGGGGGGAGAGAGGCACTTCCTGTTCACACTCAGTGCTGATGGTGTGCAGTGGATTTACCACGTACTGTGGG